TGTTACACAAGGGCAACATCTAATAAGTACCTATTGAACAACTCTCACATGCCTGAAACTCTTGGCAGAGGCAAGAGATGTAACATGCTTGGGAGCCAGAATAACTTCAAGTTGGTCAGTTTGTGGGTTATAGGACTTGTTGAGTATACCAGAGTCAGAACTGATCCACAGCTGACCCTCCAGTGGGTTTTCAGAGGCAGTAAATCGTACGGGAGGAGACTGCCCTTCCTGCTCCTCTGGAGCAGCTGGTGGATCCAAACCATGTGCCTTAGGGATTGAAGCGCAGCTTCTTGCCACTAGGCCACCCCTTTTGTTTGTGTGCATTACAATTGCTTTTCAATATGATATACATTTTGGTATTGTGATCAGTATTCTTGGAAATCAAGTCCTGTCACTCAGGGTTCTAATTCAGTGTAAAAAAAAAATCCAAACATAACAAAAACAAAATATTCCACTTACTTTCTTCCAACAAAGAAAAAAACAAACCAAAAAACTCCTTATAGGATAAAACAGAGGTAGAGAGAATCAGAATCAGAAGACATTTTTCTTCCAACTGACTAACACATATTGGTCGTGCAGATAGCCGCATTGGAGAAGGCCCACGGGGGGGGTGGGGGGGTGGGAAGGGGTGATGAATTACCATACAACTAGCAGATGCTAGTTTCTTTCTTGAAATGTTGCTACAAAGCAATCTCAAATGCTTTCTGAAGGAATTCTTAGTTTTTCTTCCCACAAATGACAGCTTTATTAAAAAAAAAAAACACCACACAAAAATTACAACCCCCCCCCCCCAAACTGGGAGTTACTTATTTCCCAATTTCACTGTGAAAAAGACCATTTCAAAGTCCTGGGGAATCTTTCCTTCACCAGTCAGGTTGAAGGCTCACTGGTAAGCAGGAGGCACTGGGAGGGCAGTGTAAAAGCAGTCTTAACATTTCCAGTGAAAAGAGCCAACTTGTTTGTGGTTTTGATTTGCTTTTAATAACAAGGTCTCTCAACCAAAACTGATGAATTGGCATAAGAACAAGGGTACAAAAGAACATCAAGGGGCCTTCCAAACTACTAACCAAAGGATAATTCCTTTACTTTGGGTGGCCATCATGTTATCCCTTGGGAAGAGATGGGGGAAAGGGCGGAGGAGGGGGGGGATGCAAAGCTTCTAATATATGGTACCTAACTATAAAGAGACTGATTAGAGCAGGCGGCCCATGGTGTTGTCTTAATACCTTATAATCACAGCCCATACTTCAAAAGCCAATGCAAATTCTGCTGCACATTGTCCCTGAAAGGGAATTTCACTGCATATTGAATTGAAAGTAATCATTGCTACAGCATAAATAAAGCCTCTATGGGGTAAACACGAAAGAATGTTCCACGCGACACTGCATTTTCAAATAGCAAACTTTATTATCAGTGAAAAGATAGGCACAAAGTGAATTCAAACCTGCTTAACTTTATTGGAACTAGCTCAACTGATTACAAAAGGAAGTCTCAATTACTACATACATTTGAAAAGCAGAGGCAATTCTTTTCCAGCTATTTCCTAAGCTCAGCTATCCATTTTACAAACGCATGCCATTAATCACAAGGGAGGCCAGAAGGAGGTCTGATGGCTCTATGTAACCCACCGTTGCTACTGGAAAAAGTAAACACACTCCTGACACTTGTCCTGCTGATGATAGATGGCACTTGGAAGGTATATTTCCCGAAAATCATGCGAGGCTGAAAGTGGTGGCAACCAGCCCCTACTGTCTGCCTTCCATTGAAAACATTTTCAGTAAGAATGCAAACATTTTAAGTAACACATTCCATATGCAGATGAGCATTGAAATAACAGGAGATTGGCCAATAGACATGAAGATATAAAATATAAAGGTTGGTGCATATGTACACACTTTAATCTGCCACATTACAAGTATGTAAGGACTTCATTACAAAAATATTGTTTGTACAATCAGTTCATTTTTCAATTATTCTACCCACCCAACAGACTACACAACAGCTATCTTGGGATGTTTCCTATGGCAGGTGACACCAGATATTTCCAGTTCCTCCTCTCCTGTCACCCTAAAGCTGAAAAGCAGCATCAAATAAATCCTTCATTAAAGCAATTTAGATACAATTTTAAAAGAGTGCTTAAGCTACTTTCATTTAACAAAAATGGTTAATATTAGTTGTACATCTCAAGTATGAAATGCATTTGTTTACTTTTTTTTGCCATACATGGGACACTAAGTACAACAAACTTGCAAGTTCCCCAGAAGTCACCAGGCAGTAAAAGTTAAGACATCAAGGCCATCCTCCTGTTCTGAGGTGCCAGTAAAATGCATAGATAGTTGGGGTCCATACAGGATCCCTAAATGTTACAGCCACACAATAGTAAAATGGTGAGAAACTCAAGATTTCTTCCATAAACCTGAAGTTTTAAAATGACATCTAATAGAAATTTTTGTTTTTCTAAAAAGGCAGAATCTATTTTCTTCGTAAACATTGACATGGACTTCTTCCTACCTCTTAGCTGCATGATATTGGCAAATGATTGGAGGTTGGTAACTGTGGGGAAAAGGCTTGCCCTCGGAGTGAGGGGGAAGAGATGTTCTGGACAGTTCGAAAATTATTTAACCAAGAACTTCTTCCTTTCCCAACAATACAGAGGTCAAAAAAGATGGCTGCCACACAGTGTGGAATGTATGTTTGTCACCTTACAGAATGTGATTAAAAGCATGGCTTCCAAAGTCAGCTAAGATTCTAGTAATGTTTTCTGGCCAGGAAAGGGTTTTGTTTGTTTGCACTGGATTCATTCAGATAGAGCTCAACTCTCCTAAACTTTGTTACTTTTGCTCCTACTCTTTTAGTAATCCCCCCATCCCTTCTTCTATTAATGAAAATTAACAAGTGCACTTTTAATTACCATTTGATATTCACTGTATAACTGAGCACGGAGATACTGGATGATCCCTTCATCATTGAAAATCTGAAAAAGAGTGACTGAAACTCTCATATGCTCTCTCTTGTGTTTCTCCATATATCAAAAGCTAATTCTTTGGAAGGTAATTAAGACCTACAAGAGACTATTGTTCAACATGCCATTTCAGTACACACTGAACACCCCAAAAGATGATCCAAAGATACTCAATCTCATACCAAGAAAAGAGTGATGAGCTTCCTTAAGGGATCATTCATTTCATGTGATTCACACTTGACTTGGGGATCAGAAAAGGGCAAACCTTGTAAAAAGGCACTACAAGAGAGTTAAGAATTTAGAACTCTAGTAAAACTCCTGAAGCTAGGAGCATTAAAAAAAAAAAATACATATGCCCTGGGTCATGAAGATGTCTTTTCTTAAAACTGGTTGGAGGGGTTTTTTGTTATCCGGGTTTCCAAAAACAGGCACGACAGTTAACAGAGTGGTATGCTTTGTTCTATCAACCTAAAAAAAAGGTAACTTATGTTCTCCAGGTTTCAGATTCCTCATCAATAAGATGAGTGGGTTGGGCTATATTGAAAAAAAAATTCCTTCTAGCCACTATGGCTCATGATGTAAAGTATCAGACCTATTCTATTAATCTGTTTTCTAACTAACAAACACACCCCAAAATATCTACCCTCCCTTATCTAATATTTTCCCGCTCCCATCACCCCACCCCAGACCCCTGAAAACTGATCATAATGACATTATCTGTGGATCTGTCACCTTAATAGAGGGCAGAGAGGTGACACACGACAGGTGTGTGTGGTAACAGGCATTTCTCTGAATCCTATGACAAGGCTTTATCCCTGCCCACATACACATTCTCTGCTGCTTTCCAAAAGTACTCTACATTGGAGTCAACTGGCAGTGAGAAGAGGTAGTTGAGGATACTGCTGCAATCAACCTCTCCCTCGGACTGCAGTACAGTATTTTGGGGTTTCTGATGCTACTCTCTTAGAGGTGAAAGTCAAATGGGTGTTTTAAGACTTCAGCAGAGGATTTAAGAAAACAAAATGAAGATTCCTCCAAGGAGTCACCAGAAATTCAAAGCACAAAACCAGTCAACAACAATGCTTCCTCATTGCAAATGAGTCGGGACTGATAACCTAACCAGTGACTTTGTGCTACAGAAGAACCAAACACTAAGTTGATTGGTCTTAGGAAAGGGGAGCAAACTGTGTTCATGGCTACTCACAGACCACAAAAGTCTGCATACAGCACCACGTGCCAACTTTCCATCAAGGTCTGCTCTAATTCCCTAAGAGAGAGGAAGTTGTATTATCACTCTGTAAATTTACTCTTCCAGCATCTGAAAGCAGGATGTTAATTATTCAAATGCATAAATTATTCGAGAGCACATACATGAATATATGAACCTCCAAGAGAGAACCAAAACAATTCACTTCTAAATTACCATTGAAATGAAAATAATGTAATCCCTAGGGCCTGAAAGGAAAGAATCTGGGAAGAAAAGGTACCTCAATCACCTTTCCACATCATGCTATCCCTCACTTTTTCTCCAGCTAACAAAGTTCCTGAAACTATTCCTTTTTACTAGCCTGATGAGAAAACTTTCTCTTGATGCTGTGTAGATGGTATCTGTACAAAACAGCAAACACAAATACATTTTCATTTCTGGACAACGTATTACAAACTGCCCTCGACACATACTGTTTTCTTCAAGAGGAAAAAAAATGATGTGGTGTACAGAAATTTGAAACAAATTTAAGTACATTGAAGATACTAATGCATATCCAGATATTAACAATCTCAGTACTAGTATAAATCAAAACAATTAACCTGAAATCACATTCTGATTAATTTGTATTTAGAGGTACTCTCTTAAGTATACCAGTATAGATTGGAGTTTATATGCTATTACTTAGGACATTGTTCCAAAAAGAAAGCCCTTTACAAAAACTTCCCCACCCCCACCCCTTGTCGTTACCCTCAGAAAAAGAAAAATCAAAAGGGAAAAAAATTATCAAAAACATTCTTGCTGATAAATCGCAGCTCTTGATTTGGCCGATCAGATGAGATATTCCACCAACTCTGCGTTAGGCTCCTGTCCCAGGATCTGAATGGGAGTTTTCCTTTCCAGGGTATTGGAGTGGAACATAGGACCATCTAAATGGAAATAAGAGGTTAGAAAACACTTAGATATAAGGTGGTTGTTGTTATGTGCCGTCGAGTTGCTTGTGACTCATAGCGACCCTATATACAACAGGCCTCAACTCTGTTCTGTCCTGTGCCAATCGCACCGTCTCCGATACACCCATCCCGGTTACCCCAGTCACTGAATCAGTCCACCTCATAGAGGGTCTTCCCCTCCTGCGCTGTCCCTCCAGCCTCCCAAGCATGCTGTGCCTCTCCAAGGACCTATCCCTCCTTACAACATGTCCAAAGTACGTCAGATAAAGCCCCAGAATCCTTGCCTCCAAGGAGTAGCCTGGTTTAACCCTCTCTAATTTCTGGAAGCAGACAGCACTAGATCCCCTATGATGGCAATGGCCAAGAAACGAGGCTTGCCTACCACATCCCTCAATCATCTGAGCATCTAATTCTCAAGTAGAGAATAGCTTCAACTAACCCTTTCCCATTGTAGTGGCCAAAATGTCTTTCACAGATATTTCCCCCTATCTCTTCTGACTAATATCCCTTTGGAACAGGAAAGATTCATGCCACATGACTGACTCTGCCTAAAAACGTAGGCATCAACAAATAAGTTTGTATCTGAAAGCACAACTACAACCGAATGGATGGAGAAACTGTGGTACATTGGAATACTATGCAGCACACAGGAGCAGTGATTTCAAAATAATACTACATAACATGAAAGAGCATTATGCTGAGTGAGCTAACTCCGTCATATAAGTACAAATACTTCATAAGACCATTATTGTAAAAATAGAAGAAAAACTAGTAAAATGTGTATGGGGGCCCAAGGGAGAAAGGGGTGGGAGCTGTTGGGTGAGGATGGATAGGGGTGAAACCACAGGGTTGCACAGTTTGGTGGGTGGAGGGAGGGGGTGAAGGAAATGGGAAGGATCTGGCTGGGATCTGGCAAGACAGGGTAATGGTGGGCATAGTCCAATGGTGATTAATTTTATAAAACATATTGCATATGAATTATTGTATGAAACATAATATGAATGGAGATTAGTGTGAAACACAATGTATATGAACACTGTAAGCAAACCAATATAAAATGAAAACAAATTTTAAAAAACCCAACACAACAGAAAGCTAAGTGGTACAGAAATTGGTTACCTGTTTTGTCTACACTGCAGGCCAAACTTGGGATAGGTACACGGCATGATCCAGAACCGGTAGCTGGACTTGCAGGAGCCTCAGGCTGAGCCAAAGCTGGAGTTGGAGCTGGAACTGGAATCGGAGCCGGAGTCGGTGCCTGAGTGTGAGTCGGCGCAGACACCTGAGCGGGTACTGAAGCTGGAAGTGGAGCTGAAGCTGGAACTGGAGCCAGAACTGGAACCAAGGCGGTTGGAACAACCTGAACAGCAGGAGCCGGAGCAACTGCAGCGGCAGAGGCAGACACTGGAATCGCAGCAGCAGCAGCTGGAGAAACAGCAGCAACAGCAGCAGCGATTGCTGGAGATGGGGTGGCAACGGCAGTAGCTGGAGCAGGCGCAGCAACTGGAACAGCAGCTACCACCGTGGTGGTGCTGGTGGCAGTGGTTGCGGTGTTGGTGGCAGCAGAGGCGGCGGCAGCAACTGGAGCAGGAAGAGAGATTGGAGCAACAGCGGACGATTTGTTCGGTTCCGTTCCACGTTCGGTTTGGGTGCTGCAATCTCGGCTGCCTGACTTAGAGTGAGCAGAAGGCAGAGGAGTCGAGGGAGGCACAGGTGAAGGTGCAGAAGGGACAGACTCAACACGGTAGTCTCCACCCAAGAGAATACCTACAAATGAGAGAGAGACACACAGAGAGGGAGAGGGGGAGACGGGGGGCGGGGAGGTAGAGAGAGGTGGGGAAGAGAGAGAGAGGGGTAAAGAGAGGTGGGGGGGAGAGAGAGAGGGGTGTAGGTTAGAAAATGAAAGGCTATTCATCTATCTATTCTTCCTAATGAACTTGAGGGTAGGGCACTCAGGAGTTTAAGAAACAGTTGAAAGGGTCTAATGTCTTCATTTTTGTCTCTAAAAAAACCCCAAGACTCAGTCTGTCACATAGCTTCAGCTCTGTTAAGTTTCTTTCATACTGAGAAGACCCTTCCGAGTCTTCATACTCTAACCAGGAAAACTTAACTAAATCTTTAAATGCAATGCCTTGTGTATCTATTTTTATCTTCCTCGCCAATGGTTACTGACTTCCACTGAGCTGTCACAATTCAACTCAGTTTCACTTGCAATCAATATCATATCTTAACACACATCTAGAAAGGATCAGAGGAAGAAACCTATCACAGATTAATTCTGTGAGTTAAAAGTTCTAACCCATGACCCTGGTCCTCTAAAATGCCTACGATAACCAAAGAACACAGCAAGTATCAGAAGACCAAGAAGTAACTAGGAGATCTAACAAATCTATACATATATTTATAGAAGGGAGGTCTGTTAGCTTAGTGGTAAAGAGTTGTGCTGCCAACCTAAAGGCAAATGTTTCAAATACACCAGCAGCTCCATTGTGGCAAGATGGGCAATCTCCTCTTATATGGTACTGCCTCTGAAAACAAGCTGGAGAGTCAGCTATGAGTCAGTTCTGAACAACATACTTCTAGATAGCTAGGTAGATAGTTATAAATAGCGCTATCTTATTTTCTAGGGTTCTAAGAATGTGCCTGTGACTTATAAAATTCACAATACTTCCAGGGTTTCATTTAAGGGGAAGGAATGGACACAAGCGGAACGGAAAAGGTACATTCTCTTCTTATTTCAGTACTGTCTGGTAACAAAACTCTGCCACCCAGTTCTATTTAACTTTGCTAGAACTCAGGCTCCTCCTGTTGTGCGGGAGAAAAAAATGCCTAGAAGCAGCTGGAATTTTGAATGACATGAAGGCCACATGGGCTCTGGACAAGGAGAAAATGTTTCCACATGGAGAAAACCAAATCAGGCTTTTTTTTAAAAAAAGAAAGAAAACAGAAGCCTATCTTCCTTTCTGTTCAAGTAGAACCCTAAGATTCTATTTCCTTACACTTTGGATTCAACCATTGTTCTCTCAGTGAGACTTGACAGTGTAAAGAGGATCTTGAATGTGCAGTTAGTCTATTTTTTAAAATAGTGGTTTGCATACAAAATTCATATGCATTATGTTTCATCCCTGTACACTGTGTTCCACACATCCCTTCATTCACATTGTGTATGTTCCACATGCTCATTCCCATAAGCTGTGTTTTTACAAAATTAATCACCATTGAGCTATGCCCACTGTCACCCTTGTCTTTTCAGGTCCTCACCATAGATCTATCCTAATTCCTTCAGGCCCTCCCTCGGCCCATCAGACTGAGACCTCATGATTTACATCCCTTCCCACCCTCCGCCCCCCTGACTTAACCTTAAACCTAACCCTTCCCCTCTTTGGACTTTTATCCACACTTTACTAGTTATCCTTCTACTTTTGCAGTAATGGTCTTATGCAGTGTTTGCTTTTAGGCTACTGAGTCCGTTCACTCAGCATGTTAGCAGCTAGTGTCTCTCTTAAATATTTTTTTGTTTGCTTGTTTGTTTAGCACAGGAGAGGCAGACCCTCAATGAGGTGGATTGATTCAGTGACTGGGGTAATCGGGATGGGTGTGTCAGAGGCAATGCGATTGGCACAGGATAGAGCAGGGTTTAGGGCTGTTGTACATAGAGTCGCTATGAGTCGCAGGCAACCTGACAGCACATAACAACAACAATATTCTCTCTTGAGGAAAAAAATTCAATCTGCTAGATCTTCCTTTCTCTAACCTGGGTGATGATCTAAGTTAGGACTTCCTTTAACACCTGTCACTATACTCTTCCTTATTTATTATTATTACCTAGGCTCCCCTTCCAGTTCTTGTCATCCCGTTTCTCTTCCATGATGGGTATCCCCGTCAGGGTGGAAGAGTGAGAGAGCAGGCCTGAACCAGCATTGGAAATGGACATCAGCGATTTAGCTGGACGCATGGATGACAGCTGCTCTGTCTTACTCTGCTCTTTCCGAGAACGCTGCTGGAGTACTTTGATCATGGCGTCCTTCTCAATAATCTGGGCATGGAGGGTCTTAATCCTGGGAGACAAACAAAGAAAGAGGGGGGGGAAGGCTTTTTTAGAAAGACTTTGTTGCCACCACCATGCTCTGGTTTCACTGTGTCAATGGACTTCAACTTCCATTTTCTGTATTGGCTAAAGAAACGTCTAAAAAAGAAAAGAAAAGTCTACCTATTTCTGATATTTCTGAATTGTAGGGAATGGAATAGTGTGCTTTTTTTTCCAAAAAAATGCTTTTCTGCACACACTAATGGAAATAGCGGGGCATCCAGAAGTTGTTGTTTAAATATTAGGAGGTCAAAGTGGCGTATGTGTGCAAAGAAAGATTATATATATATATATATATCCACTTCCTAAACAACATGCCTCCAGAAACGCTATGAACTTTAAGAAATGTCGATAGTTATAGAAAGCCTTCAGGCCTTTTGTTCATAGGGTCACTATGAGTCGTGCTCAACTCGAAGGCAATCAACAAATTTATATAATTAAATGTAGGTAATGGGTACTGTAGTGCAGGATGTGTGACTATAGAAATGTGTTCACAGTCTTTAAGTAATAAGTATATGATTATGAGTTTATAGAAGGCATCAGACATCCTATTTCCCAATTTGAGTAGGTATTCTTTACGAAGCAGTCTACTGGATCAGAAGACCGAAGTTCAGTGCTAGAAAGAATTCTCCTGAGTGCAAATATCAACAATTCAGTTCTGGCAAAAGGTGGTGGAAAGTAACTGGCAAGGCCAAGGAGGAAAGCAGCCTTCCTTGGAATTCCACCGTTGGTAGGTATAACAAACCCTAAGTAACAGGCTGGCACAGGTGGAAGTGGGAGAGGAAGACAGCATTAGCAGGTTTCAAAGTTATGAATAAAGATGCTGGTTCCTCCCTACTGACCTATCCAGCCTCTATACCAACTTCTCATTTCCGCCAAGGACCAGATTCGCGTGTTACCTGCCCTCCATGTCAAGGCAACGCTTGTTGGCCATCAAAATTTCTTCTTCTTCCTTCTGGATGCGAGCTTCTAGGGCTGTGTCATAGCTGGTGTTTGGAGAGTGGCTGATGACTGTTGTGTCTCTGGAGAGGAAAATGACAGTGATGATGGTAGAAAGGTAGTCACATTGGTGAATATGTCCTTCCTCCCTCCTGAATGAAGGATACTGTTGGGAAGCTGCAACCTGAAATTAAACTCAGCAGAAACAGTTGGTTCTGGGGTAATTACTGCTGAGTCCTCAGGGTATGAATATTCAGTTTGCAGGGCTAACAGGAGAAGTTACTGACATGACAATGGCTGTAAAAGCCAGTCAGGATTTCCATGAGATGGGTACAAGTCTTCCTTCCGAACGAGGCATGCAGTCTCTTAAAACTTCCTGACCATGCCCCGGAATTAAGAAAATGTGCATATTTTAAGTTTCATTCACATAGCAGTCACTAGTAAAGGACTCTGAAGGAAGTTGGAGAATGTACTAATTTACTGTTGCAGAAGAATGGTGGCAACTCTATCTGATAGCTAGAACTAAACTGTAGATGAATCCATATCAGGCAGGGCATGTGAAATGAGGGACAAGCAGTGCCTTTTGAGTCAGTGCCACTTGGTTCCTATCTAACCTACATCTGAGGCATTCTAGTGCCAAATCACCGAGTCTACCCCAACCAAGCGACTGTTCTCTTGCCAGAGTCCCAGTGGCACAAGGGGAAATTGCGTTCCAGCTGAAAGTTTCTCTAGCAATTAACTCAAAGGGCAATTAATATGGAGGGGAGTGAGAGTGAGTGAGTGAGAGAGAGAGAATATGTGTGTGTGAGAGAATATGTGTAAGAGTGTGTGTGTGTGTGTGTGTGTGAGAGAGAGAGAGAGGGAGGGAGGGAGGGAGATAGAAGAGAGGAGAAGAGAAAGAGGAGAGGAGAGGAGAGAAGAGAAGAAAAGGAGAGGTCAAAGAAACACGACAGTCTGACAAACAGGGTTATATATCTTTCTGCACTTCATTTAGGACTGACAGAGTAGGGAAGAGAATGAGGAAACCTGGATCTTATTCTAGTAACTTGGAGAGGGGAAACAACAACAACAAAAAACCTAAAAAGGAAGATTACAGGTATAATTATATTGGTCTAAAGGAAATTGGATAATAGACCCTGAAGACAATGATCTGACACTGCTTTCACAATATTCCAATGTGAAAGAGTATCGGTGAGAGAATGCTTAAACATATTTTTGCTTAAAAACTGAGACCAGTGCACATAGGAATGGAGGGAAAGAGAGTTGGTGTTAAGGTTGAGAAATGTTGATGAGTCTTGAATCTTCTCCAAAATGCTTGTGCCTTATAGGCAATGGTGAAACTACACAAGAGTGAAATGAAAGTAGCAATGAGGATAGGCTACAAGGACTCTTAGTTCCTAAATGAATAATATTCTGCTTTTTAGTTCTACTGAGGATTGCTCCTGGTTCCCTAAGGGGCACAAGGCAGTATTGGTGTGTATTGCCTAATAGCAATGGGACCGAGCCCCCGCTTTCCCAAGCACTCTGCCATTAAAGAGATTTATGGTCACAGGAAAGGAATGCTAATAGTGCAGTAATTAACCAAAAAGTTTACGGATTAAACTCACCGGCCACTGTATGAGAGAAAGATGTGGCAGTCTGTTTCGGTTAAGACTTCGAGCCTTGGAAACCCGAGGGGACAGTTCCACTCTGTCCTACAGAGTTACTGTGAATCAGAATCAACTAGAAGCCAAGCAGCTTGATTTTCTCATTTACGGCCTCAGGGAGGCAGTTAGCTGATCTAAGCCTCAGTCTCTCCATAAAGAAGACGGTAACGATAATGGTGCCTATCTCTCCTAAGGTTGTGTGGGGATAAAATAAAATTATGGTGTGTATAGTATTAAAAGAAAAAAAAAAGCAGCAGCAAAAAGTAAACTAAAAGGGAGCTCTGGTGGCCTAGTGGCAAGAAGCGGTGCTGCAATCCAGAAGGCATGCAGTTCAAGGCCACCAGTTGCTCTATGGGAGAAAGATGAGCAATTTCTTCCTGTACAATTCATTAACTGCCTCTGAAAATGCACCAGAGCTATGGGTTGGTTCTGACTTGACAGTACACAACAACTACAACAAAGCATAAGATCTCAGGCACATATACGCACCCAAGAGATTGATCTACTTTTGGGAGAGAAAACAGCTAAGAGGGTATGACTTGAAAGAATATCAGCTCTTGGTATAATGCTAGAGACTATTCCTGCCCTGCAGAATTCTAGTGTGGTGGCTGAGGCTTCCCTGCCAGGCCTCTCTAAAAAGCGCATGGTGCCTACAGGCACTGGAGATTTGAGCACATGGTGTGTCACTAGGGGAGCTAGTCCTGGCTTATTGCCACTTTGATCCCATAAAAGCCCGTTTTTGAGACTCAGTGCCCTGCCAGCTAATTGATATGGACACCGTGAAGTCCTCAGGAATGGAGAGTGAAAATTTGGGGCTCTTAGTGAATTCCTACAGAGCTGCCAAGGCAAGTCCTTAGCATCAATTTGCCTTTTTAGAGGCCTGGGACTACTAGGCATGTAGTCTTTCTGGGCGCAGCTTGACCTGACATCTTCCAACATTCTGAGAGAATCCTTGGGAACACTGGTAGAGAGATGATGGATTATGGCTAGAAAAGACAACCTGCAAAATTTTAAAGACTATCACTGCATTTCAAATGCTTAAATACACAGGGTTTGGCAAAGTTAAACCAGGCTATCCCTGCAGTCCAGTTAGTTTCTCTCTCTTTCCTTTCACTGAAGAAGCTGTCCAATCATATAACTTAAATTCCTCTCTAGAATGTCACCGATGACTTCTTAATTAATTAAAGCATCGCATTATAGACTTCACTTGGGTTGTACGCATAGAGTTACACTGCCAGTCCAAAGGCAGTGCCTCTCTGGCAGTTTGAATTCACCAGTTGTTCCACAGGTGAAAGATGGGCTGGAGGGTCGGCTCTGAGTCAATTCCAACTCAATGACAATGAGTTCGAGTCTTAATTGCATTTTTTTAAACTCCAAGTGCTTTTCCGATGGGTACAATAATTTTGTTTATTTGATGAGTGACTCCTACACTGTAAGTGACCACTAGGTTTGAAATCTCCAAGAGTTTGAAAAACAGATGAAATGGAATAAAACTTATGGGAAGACCAAAATGCAAATAATTAACTATTGCAGGAATGAGGTTAGCCATCGTTCAAGAAAACCAAACACACCAGTGGTCAAATCTATTCTGACTCAAAGTAACCCTATCAGACAGAACAGAATTATGTCATAAGGTTTCCAAAGTTGTAATCGGTACAGAAGTAGACAGATGAATCTTTGTCCTCCCAGAGTAGCTGGTAGGTTTGAACTGCTGGCCTTCTGATTAGCAAACACTCAAGCACCATGCCACTAGGGTTCCTTCATCATCCAAGAGGATATATGTTGTTGTTGATTGCCGTCGAGTAGAGTACGACTCATAGCAACCCTATAAACAAAAGGCCTGAAGCCTTTCTGTAACTATCGACATTAATCAAAGTTCATAAAGTTTCCAGAAGCATGTTGTTTAGGAAGTGGATGCTATTCTTGCTTCTAAAAAAACTAAAAAAAAAAAAAAAGGACAAAAATGAACTCAAGCTAATTACTGTCAAGTCAGAACTGACTGATCACACATTCTCCAACAGGTTTTCCAAGGCTGTCTAACTCACACTGGAGACAACTGTCCATCTTTCTCTCTTGGAGTTGCTGGTGAATCTGAACTGTCAGAGAAGGGACCACCATTGCGTGAGCTGCATGATTCCCTATAGACTAGGTCACCGGAGCTTCCCACAGGACATAAAAGGCAATGAAAAGTACTGGAGCTGTTTACAAGGCATGCAATTATCTGAGCTATGCTTTAGGAAGACAACACTGTCTCTTGCTGACATGTGATGGAAGAACGGAAAAATTAGGAGAGAGAGACACTGAGCTCAGGCACCGTACTCAGAAGGGTTGTTGCAATAATCCCAGCAAGAGAAAATGAAAACATGAACCAGTGAAATTCCGGGGGAAATGGAAACAGGCTATGAGAGGTAGAAATGATAAAACTTGGAGGCGGAACTAGTGTTAGGAAGAGGGAAGTAAGGGCGAGAACTTTGGTGTGTTTGCAATTCAAATAATTCAGAAGGGATGCTCAAAGGGAGATGGGGAAAGAAAAACGGGGGTGGGAAAAGGAAAGGAGGGAAATCACTGGGATAGCAGAGGTTAGTGGGTGGATAGAGTGGTGAAGGAATAGGAAAGATTCAGAGGGCCTTGTATATGGATGACTGCATAAGGTACCATACATGAACAAAACACAATGTAAATGAAAGACTGTATACAGCAGAATTTGAATGAATGACTGTATCCAAACCTTTAAAAATTTGAGAAGTAAAAAAGAAGTGTTGTTTGCCATTTTCTGTGATAGCAAACCAGGGAGAGGTTTTTTAAAACAATGAAGTAGGTTTCAGTTCAATGTATTTTAGCATGATTTTTAAGTGCCATGGAATTGACCACGACTCTGAGCAACTCTATGAATAACAGATCGGAACCTTGTGCTATCCTGTACAATTATCATCTTTGATATGTTCCAGACCATTGTTACAAATACTGTGTCAAAGCATCTCTCTCACTGACCATTTCCAGCATGATGGTTTTTTTCCCCCCAAGCATCAGCCCCCACTGACATGCTGAAAGAATATGAGATGAACTGTCACCATCCTTGACTTAATAATGGCCATAGGGTAGTCAGAAAAGTATTGACGATTCTAACTTTAATATTAGACATGCAAGTGTTATCATTTGAAGCTACAGCATAGTACAAGAAAGGAGAGAATATGAAATAAGACGAAGGCAATGGACACTAAGAAATGCCTACAGAGGGAATAGGTATGGTCTGATTACAGCTTATGTATTGCTTCAAATAGCATCATACTATATACTAAACCTTAAATGTTATCTTATTGGACAGTTAATAAGTCCTATTCCACTATATTTGAGGTACGTCCTATCTGGAAGGCAGACTAATACACTGGTCAAGGTGACACCAATTGAGATCCAAATCCTGATTCTTCTGCCACTTACTAGCTGTGTGTGATCCTGGACCATTTTGTGAGGTGTTTCTCTCTACATCACTGCACACAATTACTCCGAATCTTTCCACTTCCAATAATAACAAAGTTTTTAGTGTTACGGTTTCACAAATAACCTCTGAACAAGTGTTAGGCTCAGGTGTTTCCTTGGGAACCAGCAGCTAAAATTACACTTAATTCTGCATTTAATCTGCCTACAACTTCCCTACCATCTTCCAGCACAGCTGGGCACTCTTTTATGTCACCGGCATGCCTCAAGCACCCTTTTCTCAGAAAACAAAGACAGTTAAACTGAAGGCCATATGTACCTAGGCATCAAGCCATAGGCACCTTCAGCCTATTAACATATAAGGGACCTCTGAAGACAAGCAGAGTAAATGAGAGAAATTTAAGATGTTTTCTTGAAAATGAAAAGTAGATTTACAAACCAATTAGTCCAGCTCTTGAGCACCAATGCCCATCATTAGATTTGGCATGAGAAGGACTTACAAAATAAATGTATTCACCATCCCTTCTGTGTAAATAATCTGGCAAATGTCTCTAGGCTCCTCCAACTCACTATGCTTAGGAGAAATGTCACAACAAAACTGGTTTTTAATAATATCCTTGTTAGAGTCCTCTCTGGGTGCAACATGTATGTACAGTTCACTGAGATACTAAACTCTGTTTGTATGGGCATATCCCACAGCATCGTCTGATTTAAATGTCTTTTGCCGCTATCATTTGTTGTTTGCTCATTTCATTTCCAAATTGTGATCATGAATAGCAGAGAGACAGTGAGACTGGATCAGAGCTTCCCCCACCAGTCCAACAATTAATGGTGATAATATGGAAAAAAATTTGGAGCAAATGAAAAGGATATTAAAAAAAAATACTCCTCCCGCCACTTTTCTCTCTTTAGCTGATGGAATGTGCTTGCTTACATGTGATGAGCTCATGCGCACAGAGAATGTGGCCTTCAAATATAGACCTTCTCAAAGGGCAGAGATGGATTCATGTTCAGCATAGCCTCTGACATACCTTGGACAAGCCCAGAGCTATCAGATGACAGCAGCCACTCCTGAGTGACATTGACTTTCTTAGTGATATTTCTCTGGAGAGAGGCTTTCAATTCTAGGCCTTGTACTAAACAAAGAAACCCACACAGGTGGCTGAAAGAAGACAGAGCCGTGGTGAGGGAGGTGTGTAAACATTCACTTGATCCCAAATGCCACTGCACTGGCTCTTGCAGAAAGCTGTCCTGTGATTACTAAAAGATTCCTACAAGTAACTCCTTGGCAAATCCCTGGCCCTCTGCTCCCACAGTCATTCAGTACCTGTATAATCACACGAAAGGAAGGGTACTTAATCAGAAATGGGAGAAACAAAGCATTAAAATTTAAAAACACTTAGGGAGCTCTGGTGGCCTAGTGGCAAGAAGCTACACTACAGTTCAAATCCACCAGACGCTCTGCTGGAAAAGGGGAAAAGGAGGGACAATCTCCTCCTGTACCAGTCAGATCCGATTTGACGGTACACGCACATAAAATAATTAAAAAAAATTATAAAATTTAAACACACACACACACACACACACACACCTTAAAACGCTGAAAAATCTCACCTCTGAGCAGCCACGGTCGCAGCGGCATCCAAAGCAAAATGTCTCATCACATTCTCCTCCAAGTACTTCTGCTCCCACTTGGTCATATCAGCTTCCAGGGCCAAGATCCTCTCCTCCTTCTCCCGGAGCAGCTCCATCAGAGCAGTGGCGCTGTATTCTGTAACGTTGGTGGGCTGCGAGTTGCCCTGGCGCTGTTAGGGGTGATGCCCAAGACCCACTCAGATTAGTAAGAGAAGGACCAGGTGGAGTCTCCTTTAAGAGCCCCTATCCTACTCTGGGATGAACTGCATTGGAAAAGTCAGCTGTGAGGGAACTCTCAAGAGTACTGAAGAGCAACGACGTCAGGCTGGAGACTAAGGTGCGCCTGATCGGGGTTATAGTCTTTGCAATTATGTACTATGCATTGGAGAGTTGGACAGTGACTAGGAATGATAGAAAGAGAATTGATGCCTTTGAGCTGTGGTGCTGGAGAAGAGTGTTGAATATACCATGGACTGCTAGGAGAACTAACAGGTTTGTCCTGGAGAGGATTAAGTCGGAATGCTCCTTGGAGTCAAGGATTCTGAAGTTTCGTCTGACATACTTTGGGCATATTGCAAGGAGGGACTGGTCCTTGGAGAGGGACATCATGTTTGGCGGAGTGGAGGGGAGGCGAAGGAGAGAAAGACCTTCAATGAGATGGATCCATTCTGTGACTGGAGTGGTGGGAATGAGTGTGTCTGAGATGGCTAGGTGGGCACAGGATAGAATGGCGTTTAGAGCTCTTGTACATAGGGTCACTATTAGTTGCAAACGACTCGATGGCACTTAACAGCAATCCTACTCTGAAACACACAGCTGTCACCATGAGTTTGAATCAATACAACGGAAACCAGTTTCTGTTCAGGGTTTGAGTCTGGGGAAAGGACTGCTTCCATTTAGTATGGATTCTGATTCAGAAGCAAAGAAAGTATGGGGCTTCCTTGGTGAGAAATGGAACCTGCCATGTTAAGTTGTCACACTGCTCAGAAAGTGAATCAAGGCCATTCTTTACCAGCCAGGATGAAAAGCAGCAGAAATGGACTAAAGAAAATCAAGCATCTAGTCCCTACCTTGCTCCCTAACTTGACCTTAAGTGAACCATGAAACCCTTTGTGGGTCTTGACTTTTTTCTTATTTAAAAGTGGCCGGAATAAGACAGATGCTTTCTAACCATCATTTCCAATTCTAAAATTAGAAGAGTCTATATGTGCAGCATTTCAACTCATAACAACACATAACAACACAACAACATAAGTGGTATAAGCCCTTATTCTGTTTGTGGGGTTCATCTGAAAGTAAAATGTTGTGAAAATAATAAACATTCACGATTTTTTTGAGAGATAGGGAGATAAGGAAGAATACTTAGTATTTATAACCACGAGGTCATTCCGGAGTAAGAAAGGGTGGTTGTTATTGTTATGTGCCATCAAGTCGCTTGCGACTCATAGAGACCCTATGAACAACAGCTCTGAACCCTGCTCTATCCTGTGTTGTTGTTGTTGTTGTCTTCAAGTTGAGCACGACTCATAGCGACCCTATGAACAAAGGCCTGAAGCCCCTCTACAACTACTGCCATACATCAAAGTTCATAGGGTTTCTGGAAGCATGTTGTTTAGGAAGTGGATACCACTCCTGTTTGCAAACCTGTTATAGTATTTTATTGTTGTTATGTGCCATTGAGTCGCCTACGACGTATAGCAGCCCTGTGTACAGCAGCTCTGAACCCTTCTCTGCCCTGAGCCAGTCTCACCAACTCTGACACACCAATCTTGTAGAGGGGAGGAACACCCAACCAAACCTCAAGATGAGCAAGAGCGTGACTTTTACCCTTCAGGTCAAAAGCCAACTGACAAACAACTGAGAAGAACATCGATTCCCTTTTCTGTGTCCTTACCTGCTGAATTCTGAGAGATTCCAGTTCTCTCTCCAGTCGTGTCCGGAGACGGTGCTCCAGTTGCTCCCGTTTCTCACACGCTGCCTGGAGCTGCACAAGGGCCTGCTGCATCTTCTCCACTTTGTCTACATACACCTGCTTCTTTTTCAGCTGAGTAGCCAGGTTGAGAGATTTAGAAGATGAAAGAAAATGGGGGGAGTTAGAGGAACAAGGTCAATCATTCACAGTCACACAATGAAATACTCGGGAGCGTTAATTTGTGTGTGTGTGTGGGGGGGGGGACAACCACCAAAACCCAAAACCAAAAAACAAACTACCTAATTTGGGAGAGGCTAGAGTGCATTATGCTGAGTGATGGACAAATACTAAGGACAAATACTGCATAAGACCATGATTGTGAAAATAGAAGGATAACGAGTAAAACGTGTATGGGGACCCAAGGGGTGAAGGGGTGAGGATGGGCAGGGGTGAAACCACTGGGTTACACAGTTTGGTGGGTGGAGAGAATGGGTCAAGGAAACGGCAACGATCCAGGTGAAAAGACAGGATAATGATAGGCAAGGTACAATTGTGATTAATTTCATAAAACATAATGCATGAGAATGATGCTATGAAACACAATGTGAATGAAGAATAGTGTGAAACACAATGTATATAAACTTCATAAGCAAGGGAGCTCTGATAAGCAAAACAATTTTAAAAAATGTAAAATAGAATTTCTATGAATGAGCATATGAAACAATGTAAATGTAAGATTGTATAAAACACAATTTATATGAATGAAATATAATGTAAAGGAATTATTATATGAAAATCAATAAAAATATTTTCATTTTAAAAAGGTCAATTATTCAATCGCCAAATCCAACCTTGTATTATTCAGACCTCTCCTTTCCCAGCCTAAAAACAAAAGACAGACTGGAGGGGGAGAAAGTTCTTCATGATAATTAATAGTCTTGCTCATATTTATTGTAAAGAGAATGTAAAAAGGGAGAGGTATTAGGGATACTATTTTAATCTCCTCCTCTTTCTCATCTTTTAAGTTTTTCCTGAGTCCATTATCCAGCCTACCAACACTAATATCCATTTACCTGGAGTCCAACCAACAGAGCCATTGCAGAAACCGCTTTTCTCCATGTCACTCTTATAAACACCAGGGAGTGACAGGTACAAGTCACTGCTATAGGGAATTTCCAGTCAGATAGTATGACATGTGCTGGTGAGGATGCATCCTCTACCACTGCCCCTTCCCCGAATTAGAATGGCTGGACCCTCCGCAAGTGGAGACTATTTATTCCCAGTCTTGTGGTAGGATTTGACTAGGTGAAGGGCAAAAGAAATGGTTTTAATCTTTTTCTATACTTTCTTCACATTTCTTTCTATTCCAGGCCTAGTTCAATCTAGCCTTGTAAACTAGCTGAGGTAATTTATAAGTCTAGATGGTTTATATTTTTTATGAGTCTTTTTTCTTTGTAATAAAACAAATTATTCTCATTTTTTTCCTATATGCTTCAAAACCTTTCCTTTTCTGGGTTATGTGAGTATCTATAAAAACAATGATACAGGCAACCAAAAACTTTAGGCCATGTATTCCAAAGCCTTCCTACTTGCCAAGCTTTGAATAATTGGAGAGCTCAAGACATCCTTTATCCTTCACCTTCTGGGCTCTATAATCCTCGTGAGCTATTTAAAGCTGAACATATTTATTTGTGAATTGCTCTGAAAACCCTCAGGAGGTAGAGCAATGTTAATGCAAAGAATGCTAACTATAATTACTAAAGCTCACAGCACTTATACTTAAAGGCAATTAAACTCAGATAGCATGCAGTTCTGTCTTGAATGGCAAAATGCAAGCTCAGAGAACTGAAAAAAGAAGTAATTCAAGGCCATGCAGATTTTTTCCAGGTCCTGTATTGCTTGGAAAAGAAAATCCAACTATCCCAGTAAAAGCATCCCGGGATTAGAAAGAACAGAGCTAACCTTTTGAAGAGAAGAATACGAAATATCAAAGAGCTTTCTAAGTTGGATGAAGATAGGCACACAAGTCAGACAACTTCATAACACAGTATTTCATTCTTCTAATACTGCCTCTTAAACCACTCACTCTGTCTTGATCTGTCAGTTCCACCCCACTCTAGTCCCATCCCCATTCCCAGGGGTTCACTCTAAGTTTAGGCTTTTCCTTCTCTATCAATGGTTAATAACTGGGATTTAATAGATAAATTATGGATTGTTATACATGTGTATCTTCTCATGTGATTTACAGCCTCCAACAATCCACTGGAGGGTCAGCTATGAATAAGTTCCAACTTGATGTCAGTGTGCAAGAGAGATTTGGGAGGGGAGGAGTGCTACTGGCCTCATATGGGTAGAAGCCAGAGAGATCTACCAAGCATTTATAAGGTATAGGACAGACACCACACAACAAAGAACTAATTGGCCCTAAATGTCAAGACTAATTATATATATATAGTCAAAGATGAGTCCTAAGCATGAATAACTTTCAAAACCAATTTCTTAAATTTAAATAAAACCTGTATGATTGAT